GTCACGTTCATGTTCGAAATAAAATCCGATAATTAATTCATGTCTAATCCCTCGATAAGTATTTTACCGAGCTTAATCATGTTTAATTAAGGTATTAATTACCTTGTATTGTCAAGAAGTCATGTTAATTATTATTAACTTAACCCTAAGCAAGGGTTAATGCTCGTCCATCACATCTTATAAGCACGGCATTTCCTAGTTAAATGCAAGCAAGTTTAATTAATTCAAGATCATGCTTAGTTATTCTTAATAACCGAGAGTTACGTTTTCTCCCATTTCACGTGAGGATTCATGATGACTTTAGTACATGTGGAAGCCTAGTGTTTAATTAAGAGGATGATTAAGCTCTTGAGTTGGTGAGTAAGCAAAGAAGAGGCCACCTAAGGCCTTATATATTTAGCAAGTGTAGAAAAATTATTGGCTATAGAATTCACCCCCTTTCTTCACAATTTTGGGTACGGCTTTTATATATGTGGAAGGAGAATTTTTACCTCAAGCTTATTTTCTCTTCTCAGCAAGCAAAGAGATAGATTATCTCATAATTAGCATAAAATAAGTGAGGTTAAGAGAGATCAAAGCAAGATCACACACGCACAAGCACGGTAATACCGAAGCCGAGCATTCAAGCAAAATCTTGTGCATTTGATCAAGAGCTTGAGGAGGTAACATCCTCTTCATTTTCTAACCATGTTCATAGGATCATTTTAAGTTAATCATGTTCATTTCATGCCATAAGAATCATGAAGAGTTGAGTTATGTTCGGTTTAAGCCATGTTAGGCCGTGACCGAGTGATGTTCGTTTTTACTCAACAAATCCTGAGCAACTCGTGTCTATTTGATCGTTATATGTCATTTTATACTCAGTAAATTCAGGTCGGTCGAGAGGTTTTCAAGTTTGCTCGAGAAATGGCCTAAGGCCGTCGGCAGCACACGTAGTGCACGTCTACGGGCCGTTTCATACCGTATCATGTTATCTTTCATTGTGATCACGTTTGTTCGAGCAATTCATGTTCCAACAGTCCTTAAATAATGTATTATGGTCAGTCTCTTAAGATCGGTCGAAGGAATTTCATGTTTAATCGAGGGATTGGCTTAACGCCGATCATACGCGCACGGAGTGCGTACCTCGGCACTTCATTAGTTCAACGAGTAAAGTTCGTTACTTTTGAGAAAAATCAGCATGTATAATCATGTCATGTTATATTATGATAAATCATGTTGAAGTTGTCGGAGAAAGTCACGCGGCAGCCGACGAGGGTCGGTTGTACTTGCGCTGTCCGCACGTCGCGGCCGCAGCGTACCGGCAAGTGAGCATGGTGCGAGTGATGCGCGGTATAGCCGCCGCGTGTGGCCAGTACCGCAGCAAGTAGTTGTTGGCAGTGAGTATATGCCGCCAACGTTCAGTCGTGCACGTCAGCGTGTGGTAACGCATGCCAGAGTGCACAGTCGCACGTTAGTGGCCTCGGCGGCGCCCAACGGGCCGCACGAGTAGCCAGCGCCGCGGGTGTCGCTCAGTAGCGCCCGCGCAGCACCAGTCATGTCCAGCCAGCGCCTGTGCGCGCACTCATGAGTTAAGCAGCACGTTGCGGTTTGCGGTAACACCCGACTGTGCCCAGTCACGCGGCAGCCGACGCACGTATCGTTCGGCAATGCCCAAGTCACGTTCCGATGGGCCTAATTTCATGTCAGCCGTGGCCAGGTGCACGAAGCGCCCTTGACCGTGGCCTCGGCAGGCCTGCAATGGCCGTGCTCACGCCCAGTTCTTCCAGCAGTCGTGCCCATAGCCACAGCAAGGTCGTGGGCTGAGTCAGCCGCCAACCGTCGGCCACAGCAGGCCAGCGGTTCGGCCAGACCGGTTCAGACCGATTTAGACCGGTTTGACCCATAGATTAATATTAAAATCCCGGTTCATGTTTTAAGTCCCATTTTTAGTTAATTCCAAGTCCAGTTCAGTTCAGTAAATTCATGTTAGTTCAGTTCTGAGTTTAGTCGGTTCCGGTTACACCAGTTGAACCGCATATCCTGTTTAAGTCCAGTAGAGCATCTTAACATATTAAAAAGTTATTTTATCAGTCTGGGCATAGCATTTAGTAATTGTTTATATTATTTTTCAGTTTGATCAGGATACAGATATCAGCACTTACATTTTCAGATCAGCAGTTCAGGTGGGGACTCAGACTGGGTATTATATTGATTATAATTATTCTACCATGTTTGAGGTATGTATTATTAGTATCCGCTCGGAATGGTCGCCGGTCCATTCTGGGTTCTAGTGGCCTTAATCTGCCCACTAGAGTGTGCACATGGTATCCGGCATTAGCTTTTTGCTGGCAGATGTTCAGGTATCAGGCAGGTGATGATATTATCTCACCATCAGTATCAACATGTTTATTCAGTACCGGTTTCATGTTCATGTTCATGCCAGGATCATGTTATTGTAATTATTTTCACTGTTTACTTTAGTATGAGTTTCCACGGAGCACAGTGGACTTTAGTGCTAACGACCCACTTTTATCATGTTTTTCAAGTCATGCAGTCGGACCGGAGGTGTGAGATGGCGATCGGTTCAGGATTATGCTTATAAAGTTTAAATTACACGGGAGATATGCTTATAAAGTTTAAATTACATTTTGTATTTGATATAGCAGTACTGCTGCTATCTTCCGTAGATTTATTTTCATGAACACAGCACTGTTATTATATTTAGCCACTACAGTTTCCGCTGACGTATCACTGTTTGTCAAACTTAGTCCAATTTGACCAGTCAGCAGACTGTAAGTCAGTTTTCTTAAAAACAGTCTGATTTGAAAGTAAGTCATGTACTATGGTAGCACTCCGAATCAGTATTTCGCAAATTAAATGATTTTATGTTGAAAAATTTTGCGAAAAACGCACTCTGATATTCATGTCAAGGCGGGGTGTTACAGTCGTGCCCTTGTGAAGTACGTAAGCCCATATAGAAGGCCGTGCCATAGCGTGGCATGTACTCACATCTTCGGATAATGAATCCCCGTTCTGCGGCTAGCGATAGATGTGCACATGAGTAATGTGATTTGTTGTGATTTTGATAGGAGATGGGACATGATGTGATTATCTTATATTCATGTTGCGACCCTACCATCTTGACATGTTATTATTATATATGTGCATAGTAGTGAGCACTACGTTTCATTTTGTGCTCACTCCCACCTGCTCTTCACGGATGCAGGTTAAGCAAGTGCCGGGTGACGAGGAAAGACGAGTGGGTCGGTCTTTTGATTATGCTTTATTATCATGCTTCCGTTTATGAATAATGTGTGGTCCTTGTGAACCTCCTTTGGTTGAGACGTGTTGAACCGTTTTCAAAACTTATGTTTTTTTTTTGGATTATTGGACCAATGTTTCGTTTGGATATTCGTATTGGATTTGTTTCTTGAATATCATGTGTTCGATTATGCATGTTATGATGTTTAGCTAATAATCATGTGAAATTGATGTTTTAAGGGTTAATGAAAACCATGTGAAAAACCGGTTAATGAATCCCCGAGCAACCAGATATGACTTGGTTGATGTTAAATGTTTGAATAACGCCCATGTTTTCGAAAACAAGTTCGAAAAATTATTTACTAATTTTTGGAAAGTCCGGAATTTCTTTAAAATCAAAGTAAGGTGCTATAGTTTGGTATTAGAGCCAGTCTGCATTTCTGTAGACTGGTTTATATGTGATTATGTGTTTAGACCTTGTATTATGATCACTCGTCTCCGTCACGCCGCGCTGCTTAAGGTATGTTTGATTTAAGTATTAATGAAAATACTTGATATGTAAATGGTACACATGTGGCAATGAAACTACTTGTGTTGGACTTGTGATTTAGGGCTTAGGATCTATCCACCTTGATTTAATCGAACTCTAGTGTTTAATGGCGAACTCTAGACTTCTGTAATTATGATTTTTTTGTGCTAAACTTTGTTTGGCTTATTCAATGTAGAGATATGAACACCCGCAACAACCGCAACTGTCAGCCATCTCTGTCTCCTTCCCCGCCTCCTCATCATCACCAAGCCTCTCCGGCCATGGACTTGACCAAGCTCATAGTCCAGTTCCAGAACATGCATGCGCCAACTTTCACGGGGACTGAGAACCCCACCGCGGTACTGGAATGGATCAAGGAGCTGGATAAGATTTTTGTTGTGCTCCCTCTCCCGGACAGACAACGTGTTTCTCTCACAGCTTACCAGATGAAGGAGGACACTTCCGACTGGTGGATTGACCACTGGGCTCGGAGGCAGGCGGTTGAGCTTAACGCTCTCACCTGGGAGCAAATGAAGGTTATGGTTCGAGGCAAACTCCTTCCTCAAAGCTTCTGGGATAGAATGGAGGAAGAGTTTTATCATCTGCAGTAGGGCAGCACCACTGTAGACGAGTACATTTGCACCTTCACCCGAATGTGTCTCTTTGCTGGAAACTCGGCGAATATCGATGCCAAGAAGGCCCGCAAGTTTCTCAAGGGGCTTAATCAGAGGATCCGTGAACTAGTAAAGAGTCACGGAGCTATGTCCTATGCCGATACCGTGCTGCGGGCACAAGAAGTGGAGAGTTGATTGATTCCCATAGCTCATGTTCCATCATATCACCATGCTTCTCAGCCCTCCCAGACCGTTGTTCAATATGTCCAGCCCATTTCCTCCGCACCGCCCGACTCTAGTTCGGGCAAGAGAAAGGCAGATTCCCACCGGGATAACCGGAAGGGAAAGCGAGGAGGTCCAGACCGGTGCAATCATCCTTCTTCTGACAACCGAACCTGCAAGAAATGTGGCAAATACCACAGTGGCGAGTGCTTAGCCGACCAGCGAACCTGTTTCAACTGCAACCGACCGGGTCACTATGCCAGTGTCTGTCCTGAGCCTAGGAGGCAGCAGCAGCAGTTCCCTCAGCAGCAGCAGTAGCCCTTCTCCCAGCAGCAGCTTCCCTCACTGCCACCTCATCGTCAGCAGCAGCACCCCCCACCTTTCCAGCAGAGGGCTGGGGTTCAGGCCCGAGTCTATACCATTACTCACGATGAGGCAGCCAACAACGCAGGTACCATGTCGGGAATGATTTCTTTATCCAATGTCTCTATCTTTGCATTGTGTGATACCGGTGTTGCTCATTCTTTTATTTCCTCTCGATGCCTTGAGGCCCTATCTGTGTTGAATGTTTGCAAAGTCGACCCTCTCGAGGTCAGCCTAGCCTCGGGAAAGATTATTACCTCTGATTCTGTGGTTCGCAACCTTCCTATTTGTATTGGTGGTCGAGTTCTGGAGGCCGACGTGTATGTTATTGAAATGCGGGACTTCAATGTGATTCAGGGCATGGACTGGCTCACTCGCTATCGAGCCGATATCCGTTGCCAGGAGCGCGAAGTCACTCTCTTCCTGATTTCCGATCAGCCTGTTACTTTCTATAGGGTGAAGTGGAGGACTGTGCCTCGAGTCATCTCTTCCCTTCGAGCTAGAAAGAGCCTGTCTAAGGAGCTGTCAAGGCTACCTCGTATCTTTAGTGTCCGACGTTGCTGATGAGCGAGTACCCGAGAGAGTATCCATCGTTTGTGAGTACCTCGACGTTTTTCTTGGCGATTTGCCCGGAGGACCGCCCGACCGCCAGGTGGAGTTCACCATTGACCTAGTCCCGGGAGCCGGCCCTGTTTCTAAGGCCCCTTATCACATGGCGCCGAAAGAGATTCAAGAGCTCAAGGCCCAGATCAAAGAATTGCTCAAGCTCGATTTTATTCAGCCGTGTGTTTCGCCGTGGGGAGCGCCAGTCCTCTTCGTGAAGAAGAAAGATGGATCGATGCGCATGTGTATTGACTATCGGGAGTTGAATGACCTTATCGTCAAGAACAAGTACCCCCTTTTTCGCATTGAGGACCTTTTCGACCAGCTGAGGGGAGCTAGCATCTTTTCAAAGATTAACTTGCGTTCTGGCTATCATCAGCTGAAGATCCGGGAGTCAGATATTTCTAAGACTGCTTTCCGTACCCGCTATGGCCACTATGAGTTCGTAGTCATGCCGTTCGGACTCAGCAATGCCCCAACCATTTTCATGGACCTTATGTATAGGGTCTTTCATCCTTTCCTGGACCATTTTGTCATTGTGTTCATCGACGACATTCTGGTCTATTCTCGAGATATCGACCAGCACAAGGAGCATCTGAGGATTGTGCTGGAGACTCTTCGTTGCGAAAAGTTGTATGCTAAGTTCTCAAAGTGCGAATTCTGGCTAAACCATGTGGCATTCTTTGGCCACATTGTGACAGCTCGAGGAATTGAGGTGGATCCCGGCAAGATTGAGGCAGTGAGCAAGTGGGATACGCCAAGAAGTGTCGTGGATGTTCGTAGTTTCCTGGGGTTAGCAGGATATTGCATGAGGTTTATCTAGGGCTTCTCGAAGATAGACCAACCACTAACTAACCTTACGAAGAAGGCCGTGAGGTTTGATTGGAGTCCGAGGTGCGAAGAGAGTTTCCAGAAGTTGAAGAGGAGACTCACTACCGCGCCCGTCTTGTCTATTTCTGATCCTACTTTGGAGTTCACTATCTATAGTGATGCTTCGAAGATGGGCTTGGGATGTGTCCTTATGCAGCAGGGGAAAGTTGTAGCCTATGCTTCGAGGCAGCTAAAGCCTCACGAGCAGAACTACCCCACTCATGATCTCGAGTTAGCTGCTGTTGTCCATGCCTTGAAGATTTGGCGGCACTACTTCTATGGAGGCAAGTGTGAGATCTTTACCGACCCCAAGAGCCTAAAGTACATCTTCACTCAGAAGGAGCTGAACATGCGGCAGCGTAGGTGGTTAGAGCTGGTCAAGGACTACGACTACATCATTAGCTACCATCGCGAGAAAGCTAATGTGGTAGCCGATGCCCTTAGTCGGAGGAGTTATGGCCAGTTGTCTTGCCTATTCACAAGGCAGGATGTTCTTCTTCGGAAGTTCGAGCGATTACAGCTAGAGGCAGTGGAGTCGACTTCGACAGCCGGGGGCGTGTTGGCCTCTTTGGTTGTGGGACCGACTCTTCGAGAGACGATAGTCTCTGAGCAACCGAATGATTGTTTTCTATTCCGGATGAAGGAGTTGTCAAAAGCCGGTAGAGTTGGTGGATTCGCGGTTGCATCTGATGGGGCATTGGTCTTCGAGGGTAGACTATGTGTTCCGAAGTTGTGGGAACTGCGAAAGGATATTTTGAGAGAGGCCCATAGTGCTCCGTACACCATCCATCCTGGTAGCTCAAAGATGTACCAGGACTTGAGGAAGTCGTTTTGGTGGCGAGGCATGAAGAGGCAAGTGGCAAGGTTCGTGGATGGGTGTCTGGTGTGTTAGTAAGTGAAGGCTGAACATCAGAAACCTAGAGGGTTGTTGCAGCCATTGGAGGTTCCCATGTGGAAGTGGGAGGGCATCACCATGGATTTCTTGGTGGGATTGGCGAGGTCGAGGACCGGGCATGACTCTATTTGGGTGATTGTGGATCGCCTTACGAAGTCTGCCCACTTTCTGCCATTCCGAATGACTATGAAGGCTAGTGAGTATGACGAGTTGTTCGTGGTTGAGATCGCTAAGCTTCATGGAGTGCCTGTGGAGATCGTGTCTGATCGAGACGCGAAGTTCACTGGCCAGTTCTGGAGGACTCTGCACCGAGCCATGGGGACGAGGCTGGAGTTCAGTACAGCTTTTCATCTTCAGACAGATGGTCAGTCGGAGCGGACGATCCAGTACTTAGAGGATATATTGAGGGTTGTGGTCTTAGATCGTAGCCTGACTTGGGAGTATGCCTTGCCTTTGGTCGAGTTGACTTACAATAATAGCTATCACTCTTCGATCAAGATGGCCCCGTTCGAGGATCTGTATGGGCGTAAGGTCCGAACACCTTTGTACTGGGATGAGGTTAGGGAGAGAAAAATCATGGGTCCGGAGTTCATTATTAGAGCTTTGGAGACAGTTGAGGCCATCCGGAAGCATATCCGGTCTGCCCAAGAGAGGCAGAAAGTCTGTACCGACCAGAAGAGGCAGGAGCACGAGTATGGCGTCGGAGACCATGTCTTTCTAAAGGTCTCGCCCATGAAGGGCGTGATTCATTTTGGGAAGAAGGGGAAACTTCAACCGCGTTATGTTAGGCAATTCGAGATCCTTGCCCGAGTCGGGAACTTAGCATATCGGCTGGCTTTACCACCGAGCTTGTCGGGAGTGCATGATGTGTTTCACGTCTCTATGTTGAGGAGATACGTGCACGATCCCAGTCACGTGGTGGACTTCGGCGAACTGCAGTTCGAGCGAGACCTTACCTACGAGGAGGTACCGGTGGCTATTTTGGACCAGAAGGTCCATCAGTTGAGGAACTGGGCAGTGAGCTTGAAGGCGCTTTGGAGTCGGCATGCTGAGTCGGAGGCGACTTGGGAAAAGGAGGCCGAGCTTAGGAGGCGTTATCCGAGCTTTGAGTTCTGAGTTCCTCTTGTATTTTATCACTTTCTAGTTTTTATTTTCGAATTCCGAGGACGGAATTCTTTGTAAGGTGGGTAGACTGTAGCGCCCCGTTCTTTTATGAATAAAATTGAATTATTTCATTATTATTATTATTATTATTATTATTATTATTATTATTATTATTATTATTATTATTATGTGTTTATTTATATTTAATTGTCTAATTACCTAAATGATTTTTATGTGCTTAATATGTATTAAATATAAATATTAAAAATATGTATTATAAATATATTATCCGATTATTATTTTATTTTATTTTGCGTCGAGCCGAGCCCGAAAATTATTCTAAGTGTTAACCGAGATTAACCGGCCCAAGTCACTTAGCCGCGACCCGCGCCCATGGCCCAAAGGCCCACGCCCGCGCCTAAGACCCGCCTTGCCCACTCTCTCTCTCTCTCTCTTGGGTAGCTTGTTGACTAAGCTATGAAGTCAATGCCCTAGTCCTATAAGGAGGAGAGATTAGACCCTCTTCCTCGTCATTTTAATGCCCTCGCAGCCACCCTCTTTCTCTCTCGCTAATCTCTCCCAATCTCTCGTGATTCTCACTTTTCTCTCTCCCAAACTGATCGCCCACCACCCCTCTCTCTTGCAATTAGTCGCCCCATCATCACCACCTCGGAGGCTCCACATAGCTGCCCTACCGCAAGCCAGGCCCATCGCTGTTCGCGCGCCCTGTTGTTGTCCAGCACCCAGCAGTCGCGCGCAGGCCCTCCCAGCGCACTTAGCAGCCCCGTTTTAGCCCCGTTCGACCCTCTTTTTGTGCGAATCTCCCGAGAATGGTACAAGGCTGATAAAACCTCCTTATTTTAATGTGAATATACGATATGTGTTAAGCCTTGGAGAGATTTGCATGTTAGGGTTGAGATGTAATCGTTTTATCCTGATATATATTTGATATATGTGAAAGCATGTGAGTTATTGGTAAATCGTGATTATGGCTGTGGAATTTTGGAAAATTTGAAGACTTTGGCCTCATGGTGAAGGCCTTAGACGCTTTTGTTGAGTATGTGGTCATATATGTATTTTTGAATCGAGTCATGCTGCTGAATTTTATTAAAATCACCATAAATCGCATGGTCGTCCGAATGTTGTGAAATTTGAAATGTATGACCCACTGTTGGCATGTTATGTGGTGTAAAATTTGCTGGTCGAAATAATGTCTGTAGCTATGTCAAATATCGATTTTTAATTGTGGGTAGAAACTTCGAAAAATCATTAAAATTCGAGTTCTTGGTATTTTGATGTGATTTTTTGGTGAGTGTCATTATTCTGGTTTTATATGCTTTGTGTCCAAATTTTATTGAAAAACTCCAAGGATTGCCCGGTGAACTTGTAAATTCAGATTTGCGCCGCTTTTCCGAAAAAATTGGTTGCTCAGGTTAAACTGAAGTCTTGGGGTTGAAAATTGGTGAAATCGTGTCTTTCTGTGTCTATTTTTATGTGTAAAAATTTCAAGTCTTTTGGTCGAGTGGTTTTCAAAATTGGTCGGGTCCATTTGGTTTACTGCCTGTCTGTCCAGGGCCTGCACTCTGTCTATGCACTGCCAGCGCCCCAGCGCCCAACCCAGTGCCCCAGCGCCCCAGTGCAGCACCCCAGCGCCCAGCCTAATGCCCAGCGCCCCAGCGCAGTGCCCTCGCGCCAGTGGCCCGCGTGATGAAGATCGTGTGTTTTGATTGCCGATAAGCCACGAATCCGCGCCTTGAATCGCCGATAGGTGTTTCTCTAGCCACAACCGCGCCTAGTGAAACGAATAAAATTGCAATATAAATCTAGAAGAAATCTAAGACAAAGTGTTTGAACAGAAGTTCAGATTTTTATTGATAAACTCAATGATGAAAAATAACATGGGGAAAGGGCCTTTATATAGGCACAAAATATGTCTAATCCTAATCTACCTAGGGAACTAATAAAGCAATAAAATATTAAGTATCATAATGCAATAAGGAAACTAAATAACTAAGGGATCTTGAGTCTTGACTTGCACTCCAAGTAGTCTTA